TTGATAGATTTTGTTTAGGTACGAGCACCGCTCTCTACACATGTCCAGAGATAAAATGTACATGAAAATATAATTCTCTCATCGGAGCTTTTCTTTCACTCTGCTCTCAAATAGTCATGTATTTGCATATAATTTCCTCGTAATCTGTTGTAGGCGTTAAGTACATTCACCTTAAAACTTTTTTCCGAATCACTGTCTCTAAAGTTCAACTAGGCACTTTGGTGTCGTACGCAAACATGCAATCTCAAACAACTTTACTTAGTTCCATTCCAGAGCGCAGCATTCGAGATAGTTATCTTGCTGCTCTTTTAATTGTTTGTATCAGTATTAAGTGGTTGTACTCTACTGTTTTTGTTTTCGTTTTCGTGGTTATTTTCCTTTCATTTTCTATTATTCAAAGCTATCGCAGTATGTCAATGAAGAATTTTTTTGAGTGTCAGATTGCTGTAAATGTGTTGATAAATTTTTCCCATCAAATTAGGTCCTACTTATTCCGGCAATATGGGGTGTAATAACGAGTTCAATCTTTTGTCGTTAAATGTTCGTGGGATTCGCACTTTTGAAAAGCGGGAAGCTGGCGTGTTTACAACATTGAACTTTACATTGCTAGGAAAAGAGGCACATTAAATAAACATCTTAGTAAGTGGGAAATGTTAATCAATATAATGTGATCTAATTAACAATTAAATATTGTACAGAAATATAAAGATAAGAACTTTCTATTAACTTAGATATTGTCTGCTGTAATAGTTTTTTCTTTTTTTGTCTTTTTGTTTTCGTTTTGTGTTGTTCTCTTGTTTGTTTTTCCTTTTTACTTTAAGTGTACTCTGTAAAAGGAAAACTTCAAATAAAAATTAATAAATTACAAAAAAAGGAAAACTTCTTTAAAAAGCCAAACATATCATTTTTAGGTCTCTAACTTTTGTTGACCAGCTTGGGGACTTAAAACATATTCCAAATTCGGGTTAAAACTGTTCTAAAAATAACTTGGTCGGAGAAAACGCCGTGACACAAGTACATAGAAGTTTCTCACTCCGGGTTATGGACTATGGGTGCCTGACGTCGTCACTGCCATAAAATGCAACTGTTAGCCCTTGTGGGCCTTTTACCGACTAAAACGACAGATTGTCCTACCAATCCCAACCTTTTCATATACCTGAAGCCTGAAAAAGGCACCACTTTCGGATGGAGCTTCCCCATATAGTCCATTACAGGGAGTACCTCTCCCGGGGTCTGAGTCAACCTAAAAATGGGAGGTTTTTAGAATTTCCAGAAATAGTTCATGTGGTACAACGAAATAGCAAAATAAGAATCCCTTTAAAGATTGAAGAAGATAGATACAGTGGTCTAGAACGCCGCTAACTCGAACTACGTCCCATTTCCCTTGAATTTCATCGCACTTTTCAGTCAGAATCACCTCATATTCAAGAATGTTAATGTTGTTAATGATGGTCTAATAAAACTCTTTCTATTTTTTTATTACAAAAAAGACCACAGAAATGAATCAAAGTTTCTTTCTTATTGATGTCTTTTAGACCTTATTCAGTCTATGTAGTAGTCTTCCATAGTTAGCGTAAGTAGTCTTCCAAAACTGGTGGCTGAACATCAAAATATTCAGCTGTTAGGTTACCATATAAGCATGTCAGACAGTTCCGTAATATGGCACCTACAATGTACATTTCTCCTACAGCACTCAAACCAATCTTTAAGTTTTTCTTGAAGTCAAGAAATTTAAAATCATTTATGACGTCCCCAAAAATCCACTCCACTGACATTCTCACTTTACTCATTGACCTGCTGAACAACTTCATTTGTTGAGTGAGCCTTGCCGTGTTTCTGAATGGGGCTTGCAAATGTATCCTTAATGGATATGCTGGATCACCATATATGCAGAGGGGTACGCCCATTGGTGAAAATGCATACATGTTTAAATCACGCAGAAAACCTGACTCTGCCAACATAGCTGCATCATGCATCTTCCCCTCTGAAAAGAAAAAAATCATGCAATGATGAATATATGTCACACAGGTCACATGTTCTAAAACATAAGACCTGATAATCATAGTTGCCTTGAAGGGACCCTAATGGGCTACATTCTCTGAGGGTACATGTACACTCGATCATGACAGGTGGACAATTTTTTCTTCATATATTTTTATCTTTCAGTTAACTTCAAGACTTTATGCTTCCCAAGCAAGACAAGCAATGCCTTTCTATTTTGTTACAAACTCATCTTTGCCAACAGTTAATTAAAAAATATATTAAAATCACTGGTGTTTACAAAGGGGAGTGATGTAGCAACATTAGTTAGCCGAGGTATGTAGTAGAAATTCACTCCTACCTACTGGGCCAAAAAGATTGGCAATGATTCCATTTGGCAGACTCACAGACTGGAACTTAAGGGCATGCACCCTTTTATGTCCGTTATAAACTAGCCTTTGGTCTTTTCCTGGACGACTGATTGCACGCACAGTTCCGTCTATGAATCCGAAACAATTATCAAGAGCAACGCCAGCACGGTGAATTGCATTTGCGTACTCTTGCAGAGAGGCAGGGCTTAAAAGGAATTGATTCCACTGGGTTAGTCTCTGTTGGTGATTGTTGTAGATAAAATTCATAACTTCTTTGGTGGTCATGCTCATAACGGGAACTGGACGTCCAAATCGTGCAATCATATCACTGAGGCGGCAGGGATAAGCAAAACGTCGCAGAAGCATACACAGTCCTTCAGTACCATCACATATACTCCTTTGCTGGCACTTAATGACCGGAGGGATACCCAAAGCATCAGCCAACCTTGGAATATCTTGTTTTTCGGGGGCACCCAACGAGAATGTAGTTCAAAACCACTTAAACATAGCATTGTTAAACGTATTTTAGTATTTAAACGGTAGATATAGGCATATCTTTATCCCCTCAAAATTTTTCATCTGTTCGGATTTCCTAGCTGAAAGTCTAGTGATCCGAAAAATTACAGGGATTAAAACTTACCTTTTCGAAAATTTCAGCCAAAAAAAAAGGTTCCTGAAAATTCTAGGTGACCTTTTTAGGGTAAAAATCCGTTAAAAATGGACAATTATACCATTTTTTAGATGTTCGAAAATCCTAGGAGAGGCAGGAAAACAAGAAATTTTACAACAAATGTTCCGAAAATTCTAGATCTCAAATAGTCTTCCGAACAGATATTTTCCGAAAATTGGCGTTGGGTGCCCCTGGTTTTTCGACACGAAAGTCAGCTACACACTCGACCGGGTCCAAGGCATCGAAGTTAAAGAGTTCGTAGTTTTCGTGTGGAAACTCGGGATTTTTTGACTGATTAATGTCGTAGAGGAGCATAAAATCGTCTTCGTCAATAATTCCATCAACATAACATTCCAAGACTAAGTTTCTAGTCTCTTTAAACGACGCCATTTAATAAACACACATGTCGCTTACTACTTTCGCGGAGGTCCGCGTATTCATTTTAGTGACGTTGGCTTAATGTTTACAAGTGACGTGACCGACGACGTTCTCGTTCCCAGTTTTTTTCGGTAATGGTGTCACGTCCGCGTCATAGATTTGTCCGGTGCTTAAAGTCCCTCTCACGAAACGACGACGGCGACGGCTACGAAACCTTCACTTAAAAAGTGAATGCTGGCTGCTTTAAACTTTATGAGTTTATTCTTGTTCAATTCGTCAAATGTTGGCACATTTTTGTGGAGTTGAATTCTAGAGGACTGTATCAAAGCTCAGGAAAAGAAAAAGAGAGTTGTTAGCTTGCGTGGCAGGCGCTTGGAAGTAGTCGGCACAAGAAAGAACGGGCGCGCGAGAGGAAGACACGCGTGTCTCCCTCTCGCGCCCCTTCTTTCTTGCGCCCACTAGTTTCAAGCGCCTGCTACGCAGGTTAGAAAGTTGTTGTCTTCTGTTCCCGTCCTCGACAAAACCAGAAATTAGGCACTTTCACGTTGAAGTCATGCAACGAGGGCAAAGAAATGTACAAAAAAGCGTGATGCACGTGCAAAGTTGTTGTTTTGCTTAAATCTAAATCTATTGCTTTTTTGCCGCTCTCGTTGACGTCGGCGTCGTCGGATCTTAAGCTCCCGAGTAACATCCCTCACTGTTTCCAAGCAACAGTAATCCTTCACTGAAATTCTGTTATTATGTTTATTTTGAATCGTACGAAATTTAATAACAATCTTCTAAGGGGGCAATTTTAACAATACTATTAGCCTGAATCACACAGTGCTTGTTTTTCCGCAGTTAGACCAAAAGCAAGAGAAAAAGTCAAGACAAAACTTAGCACCACTAAGTGTTCCGGCCAGTATTGAAGGTGTTTTGATACATTAACGATTACTGTTGCAGGTAAAATGTAGAATTTGAACAAATTCACTAAGGAAATGAGTTGATATAATGATTTAATCGAAAATGAGTTACCATAAGTGTAAAATACTCATTCAGTTGTTTTAAATAACTTATTGTTTTTTCTCTCGTATATTCTAGCTTACAAGTACAGAAACGCAATATATTCGTTTTACATTTTTGAAAGATAGACGATTAAAGATAAGCAGCATTTTAACAAGTGTAACTATGAATACCGTACAACATATTTCAGATCTTTTTTTTTTGGAGTCCCAAACGAACTGTGAAGTGCGACTTGACATACAAATTTATTGTTATAAAAGTTTATGCCCCTAAAGATTTGCCTCTGTAACACTAAACAGCTGGTAATACATCGGGCTAGAAATCTAGAAATTTGGACCTAATTTATCTAGCAATAAGTTTTTTTTTGTTTAATTTAAGAGAATAAGATCAGTAGATCACTGATGAAAACTTCTTTAAATTTATCCAGGAAGTAGCTTCAGTGTAAGAGTCGTAATGCAATTATGATTTAAAACACAGGTAACAGTACTCTAAATATTTTTATTGACAGAAAAGCTGAGAACCAGATGGTAATAAAAACTGATCGAAAATAATTTGGCCTTTTTTTAGGACACAGAAGCTGGTTTGTTTTACAGAACAGTATGACGTCTTGTGGCGTGGCATTTTCCGGTGGTGGAATGCGATCCGCAGCCCTTTGCTCGGGCGTTTTACGCTACTTGCTTCAACACAAAATCGTTTTCGATTATTTAAGTTGTGTTTCCGGCGGTGGCTTTACAGGAGCAGCTTATCTCGACTGGAAATATCGTCATAATCAACAAGACAGCTCAGAATGGCATCATAAGTTCTTTAATCATCTTCGAAGGCGATGCGGAATTTTTTGTTCCTGGGGAAACCCTTTGATTGGAATCATTGACGCCGTCATATTACTTCTTCTCTGCGTTGTAGTAGCAATCATTCTTCCAGCTTTCACTTCGCTAGCATTTGCATTTCCCACGGCCTTTGCCGTGGACTTTCTCTTCGGAGATATCCTCCGCGCTGGATTCCACTGTCCTACAACTAGCACAAATTCTTCTTTCTCAAATCCAGCGACTGAAAACAAAGGCTGTACTTTAGTACCCAATGGCAGTCAAGATGAAACCTTTGTATTATTCGGAGCTCTGTTTGCGACTTCAGGCGGACTGTATGTCTTGAAATTTCTTTTTCGACCTTGTCGTTCCTCCATCCACAGTAAACTCGAATTGTTGTATTTCATTTCTTGCTCTCTTTTCCTCATGACCTTTTTACCCTGGTTTTTCGAGGTCTTTTTGCGAGCTCAGACTTCCGTTTATGTAAACGGTTTTATTTTACTCGGCAGCGTCTTTTTGTGGCTTGGCTTTCCACCGCTACGTAACGCCGCGTCTTTGGCGCTGTTGGTGTATGCTTATGCCTACACAACAAAATGGAGAGTTTATCGGAGTCCAGTGCTTATATTCAGTTACTCAGAAGACACGTTTTATAAGGCTTTGCTTGGATCCGCAGTTCTCTTGTGGATATCGCCTTTCCTGGGAATGATTAAAATGGCCGCTGTTCACACCTACGGCAGGTAAGCCACTTGAAGTCTAGCCTGTAGAACGGACGATAGTTTTTCGCTTTTTTAGGCGAGCGAAGGCAAGCGCGAGGCACGCGTGGAGCACGGGACACAGCGACGGGGAATTTTTTTCCCAGCCCCTCCCTTCACGTGTTTCTCGTGCTCCACGCCCATCACGTTTTGCCTATACTTGCGGAGAAACCACTTAAAGTCAATCGAAGAGAGTGGAATGTTTTTGTTTTGCTTCGTTCTATCACACTTCGACACACCATTCAAATAGGCAGAAATGTTTTGGCCTCCTTTGCACACAAACCTGCAGCATAAGCGATTACTTTACCAATATAGAACTCAAGTAATAGTGATAATTCTTTTCCCCTGTAGATCTTTTAGTCGTTAAGCAAAAGCCAAATAACGTATTTCATTTCAGCCTTAGCCGACGGAGATTTTCTTAAACGCTTTCTTTGCAATGCTAAAAATTATTCCAATGCCTTATCAGGTTAGTGGACACTCATTTCCTACTTTTTGTTTTTTTAAAGATGGCGTCTGCAGAAGGCATTCTTCTTTACTGAGAGTACACGGTGCCTAGGGTGCGCTGGGATATCAGTGAATGATTGTATACCATTTTGCTCATGCGCAGAGGTTTCTGAGTGGGAAGAACTGGAGAAGGGATACGTTACTCTAGGTATTTATTTATGTCATGGGAGAAAGGCCTGTACCTTCGTTTTCACATAAATTAGTAGCATATGTTGCCTAGTCCCTAGGCCTCATTATTCCACGCTTGCAATGCGTTTCGGGTCACGTGATCCGAGCAAAGACCTTGACTGAGAAGGCCTGGGAAAGCGCCGTACAGGGACTAGGCAACACCAACTGTACAAATGAATGGAAAGATTCTGGTCAGTTATTATGGGTATGGATAGGTTAACATAGTATGGTGTTTGCTGAAAAAGCAAAATAGTGCAAGAAAAAAGACTAGATTTCTAGCAGTCCCCCAGGATTGTAGCGCGGCTAAGCAAGTGACGAGCGCGCGGACGAGGTGCGGCGGCGAGGTGCGGCCCCGGGTCTCTCTCCGGTTCCCCTCTTGATTCGTTCGCTCTCCCTTATCCAGACAAGCTTCGAACTTGACTGGCTGAAAAAGGAATGCTCGACGTCTGAAAAAAGATGGAAATAAAGCTCAGAGCCGAGTTTCAGTGGAGCTTAGCTAGTGAGCTGATTTGCACCTGAGAAAATGAAAATCGAAAAAAAAGTACAGCACAGGTTTAGATTGGTGATAAACTGAAGAGTATAGAAGTCGATTACATTAGTTGTTAGTGGTACTGCATATATAAGCTCAATTCTAATGTCTTTCATCAGGTGATCTTGCTGGAATGAACCCGGTATATCTATGCAATACAGTGGTGAACAACTGGCGAAGAGAACACAACATCGCTAACACTGGTCACGAGGCGGAGGCCTTCGAACTTCTTACCCTCTCTCCCACGGGCATAGAACGACTGGATGAGGACCCAGACGAACACAGCAGCTTTGCAGGTTGAGTTATCTTGATAATCAAGTTCCATACCATGACATTTTGAAACAACGGGTTCTGTCTTATTAGAAAATTTTAGTTCTCGATTATGAGAGCCCCGGGGCGCAGCACACTAGTCTTTGACTTTGGTGTTCTGTCGCTATGTAGGTGTTACAAACTAGATCTACGTTTGTCAAGATGAATTTTAGCAAGTATGTCCAGCGGTGTCATCATAATCTAATTTCAAATCGTAATACTTTTATTGCGTCATTCTAATGGCGCTAAGTCTCGAGCAGTAGGGAGTTTTAAAGCACCGACCGACAACGGCGACGGCAGCAAAAACGTCACTTTAAAAATGAATTCGCGCTTTTTCAAACTTTTTTGCGTTTATTCTAGTTCGCTTGAAATGTCAAAAAAGGGCGAATTTCCTGGAGTTGATTTCTTGGGGACCACACTAAAGTTTACTAAGAGAAAGGGTGCGTTTGATTGGGAATTGAAATCTGGATTTAGAATCGAACGCAAAATCCGAAACACAGATTTCAACGCTGAGATATGTGTTCTTGAATTCGCTTTCTTTCCGTTTTTTTTTGGAAATCAGAAAAAGGATTTGAAAAACAGTTCCAAATTAGAACAATGGTCTTCGGATTTCTCAATCGAACGGTAAAAAGGAAATCCATGGAATCTGGATTTGGAATTCTTAATAAAAATCCACCATCAGGACGGATTTCAAGGAGGTGAAATCCGTTTTCGGATTTCGCGTTCGATTGCAAAAAATTCAAAATCTAAATCTGGATTTCCCAATCGAACGCAACCAAAGGAAAATTCGTCGTTGCTTGTTTATGTCCTCCATAAAACGTGAAGTTTTTTCACGTCGAAGTCGTGCAGAGACGGCAGAGAAATGTTTTGCTTTATAATAAGCCTAATGACGTTCTCGTTGCCGTCGCCGTTGTTAAGGCTCCCTAGAGGCGCGCGAAACAGGTTCAAATTTCGCAGTTTCAATTAAGACCCAAATCACACTCGTGAGTGCAGAACTCCCTTGGAGTCTTTATTGCCCAACTATTGATTGACCCAATGATAGGGTCCCTTAATTAGCAAAATTTGTGGTCAGTTTACCCTTTCTCTAATGATGTTTTACTGCCCAGCATCTGCTCGCAGCATCATAGTTTTATTTTTTAACCTCTAGTATAGATCAATATCATACCTGTATGACAATGATTAGTGCATCTGATAATGTAAGAACCACCCTTTGACTATTCGCCCTTTCATAGGTAAAATTCACCCACGTGATCTGAAGCTGTCTGACGTCACCGCTACATCAGCAGCTGCCTTAGCACTCTACATGGGAGTGTATGACGTAAGAACCGAGACGGTGAGAAAACTACAAATGGTGCTTGGTATCCATTTCGGCAAAGCACTTGTATCTGATCCAAGCGGAGACGTAGCAGGATCGACATTTTCATATTGCAGGGTAGGGTTTTTTTTTTTGCGTTGATACTTTCGCTCGTGCATCTGGAAGAAAAGCACAGGAAGCACGTGCGAAGTTGTTGTTTCGCTAATCTAACCTATTGCACATTGCGCATTCATTTCAAGATTTTGATATTTGCATTTTAGGCTATCCTTGGTATAGCCCCTACTTACATATATTCAGAACTTAGTCTATTTGAAATTGCAAGGCACATACAACCTCAGATCGTCAGGTGGGATTTTGCTAGCATCGTCAACATTCAGAACTAAGGTCACACTAGGCGATAGATCCTTCCAGGTGGCTGCGCCCAAGTTAGGGAATACTCCTCCGCGTGAGCTTCGCGATATTCCAAACTTGCATACTTTTAAGAGCAATCTTAAGACGTATCTTTTTAAGTTTGCTTATGGTTGACTAAATTTTAATTGTTACATATCGATATTTTAGATTTTTATGGCGGAAGTGTATATATTTTTATTGTTTTGCTGATTGTAAAAAGGTTTGTAGTTTTGTTGTTCTTGTTGTTTTTTGTTTTGTTTTGTTTTTTTTTTTCATGCTTTTATTACTAATGTAATGCGTATTTGATCATTTTTATGAATACCTGCAGCAATATAAGTGATTAAATTATTATTAATTAATATTATTATTACATTTTTGCCGTTTTCGTTGCCGTCGCCGTCGTCGTTGCTAAAACTCCCTAAAGAGGCCTCTAACGAGAAGAGAAAGCTCATTTAGAAGGTCTCCAATACGATTTTCGGGATCCCGAGATTTGGCTGAATTGACGTCCGGGATTCGCGATTTCAGAGGAAATGGGGACTGAGATTCAGGCATTTAATGACGAGTCAGTAAATGTGGGATTTGTTGGTGTTTTTTGATGGGGATTCGATAAATGTTGTTTTAAAGAGCAGAGATCTGTTAGAATGGTAAGCTTCTATTGGCAAAAGTGTTCAGCATGCCGAAGATAGGCGATTTTTCCCTGGCTTTTACGTATTTTTTTACTGTCATTACCCTGCCGATTTGTTCTCTATTTTTTGACATATTAAAGTTGTTACACGTACTAATCTCAGAAAATTGTCATATTCCAGCGAGGCTATGATTTCTAACAATCCCCTCTAGTGTATTACTTTAGGGGAAGGAAAGTATGATTAAATGAAACAGGTTTGCTTTTTTCAGTTCCTTCCAGCCCTTATTCAGATGCTTATCGTGGTTCCTGTCATTCTACCACCGTTCCTTAGCAACCACTGGCACGTGATCGTGGTCTCCTGGTACCTAGCCATCCTCGTTTTAGTGCTGTTTATTGCTTCTCTGTCAACTGGAAGTGAAAACGGTGGATGTCTTGATAAATTTGTCAGGTATTAGAAATAGCCACTAGTTGACAACTAATTGTAATAGGGTTTTAACACGTAACGAGAAAATAATGGGTGTCATGGAGACTACAGTATACTCTGCTGTTGATTTAGTGGTGAGTCTGCTTTAAGAAAATACTCTCACTTCGATGAAAAGTTCTCTAATAGATTACGCTGTTATTTTATACTAAAAAGACATTTTTTTATGCTTCAGATGGTGCACAGTCAACATTTATCACGTAAGATTTGCTCGCCTTTTTCTGCAGACTATCGATGTTGGCCCAGTCCCGCCAGCCATCCTCAACCTCAGCGACGGAGGTCACATCGAGGGTCTGGGACTGCTAGCTCTTTTGAAAAAGAGGCTGAGAAAAATTGTAGTCATCGACGGGACCACCCCGGGGAATGGCCAAAGGGTATCATCACAGCTATTGCGCTCGCTTGAGTTGGCACGAAAAAGGTTGAGGTGCTCGTTTAGCGCGATGGACGGCCGAGATATCACCGAAGATCTCCGAAGCAAACTAGACCAAGTACCCCCACGACACAAACCTAGGTTTTACAAGTTTAGGGTGGAGTACAAGGACAAAAAGGGAAATACAGTGGATAATGAACAAACTGGGAAGGGAGAAATAATGTTGATACTTCCTCGACATCCTGACGAGGGTATGTTAATCTTTTACCTCTGGATCAGACTAAAAATTCTGATCTTTTGTCCCCATATGTCTGCAAGAGAAGATTAAGAGAGTAGCAAACAGAACGTGTTAAAACTTATCTGCGGAAAAATCCGTAAATCTGTAATTATCTGCGGAAATCTCAGACCTCGATCGGTTAATAAGTTATTTGTTACATGGCCTTTTTAGTGGTATACTCTGGATAATATAAAACTCGCTAGCGCTGTCGCTCTCTTCGTCGCTCATACTAAAGAGATATCGGTATGCGGTATTTTTCTTTCAGTTATTGAAAACATAGTCATATTTTGTCGGTAATTTTAAATTCTTGTTTTCACCCATGTACTCGCACCTTTACTCATAACACAAAAGAGCCGTCGAGCAGAGAAAAATTTTCCTAGTGCCCGGTCATTGCAGAAAAAGTCTTGCCCGCTCAGCAGCCAATCAGAGTTCGCTCACTATGGAAGTAATATAGACATGATAACGAGTAAAACTTGTAATATGCTGTTTCAGAACTTATCAAGCTCATATATGAGAAAATATGATTGCAGTCGGTATTTCGTCTACATAACGAATACCCCTTTAAACTGCACTTGATCGAATGTTATTTTCTTTCTTTCCTTCAAGGCACTCCCTCCCCAATAGGCTTAGCGCGATCGTGGGAAGATTACACTCGTGACACCAACCAGCCAATGAGCGGAAAGAAATGGGGATCAGGACCCGACCTTGAGGCTGGAGAGGTTGATCGACTCACAGGCTGTTGCTGCGAATGCTGTCACGTGACCTGCTGGAGGGCTTGTTGTGGGTGAGTGTGAGCGACTAAGTGAAGAGCGCGTCCAACTTTGCAGAATTATTTTTTAAGTATTGCTCAGTACGCACTGTATATTGCTCTTTCTTCTCGCGCACGTAACATAACACCGTGAAGCTTTTGGCGTTAGTTGAACTTATGATATTTTGACACTCGGTAAAATTCCCTAATTCCAAGGAAAGCTTCTAGCGGTAATCGGCTCCTGCTTCTTGGTGTTGACGGGTACAGTTACCAAATGACACAATACAAAATATTGAAAACTGACACTGAACAATTCCCACCCGACAACACAAAAGCGATCTAATAAAGGTTCCCCAACAACAAGAAACACCAATTCCAGTCTATCTCCATTCAGCGTTTTTTCAGGGAATGAATCATACTAGAAAACTTTTGCAGAGTAACAGCCAAGACCTTATTCCTCTAGCCAGCAGAGGAATCTAAAAAACGTGACAACTATAAACTGGCTGGATACAGGGCTGAAAATAGGATAAAATGTACGCTCCAAGGGTCAAGGCGCCTGTCTGCGGCCAGTCGGGGGAGGGGCACTCCTATAATGGCCTATACGGGGAGGCTCCGCCCGGAAGGGGTACCTTTATCAGGCTTCAGGTATAAGAAACGGTATAGGGATTTCATTAGTTGCAGTACAGTATGAAAGGGTAGGAAAATCTGTCATTTCGATCTGAAAACGGACCAAAAAGGGTTACCATACGCATTTTATGGACGTGAAAAATGCAAGAAAGGTTCATTTACAGCAGTTAAAAGGATTGCAGTGTTTCAAACTAGGTCATCATCATCATCATCATCATCATCATCATCATCACCACTTGGTATGGTATGTGAAAGAGGCACCATTTGCTCTGTAAAGGGTATACGAAAGGGGTATCTTTTCTGTCAAAAATGCAATATAAAAAGGTAAGGGGTTGGACCTCGGGGCGGAGCCTCCCGGTATAAAACTTTGTTGAGTTCGCCCCCCGGGCGCCTGACGGTTATTAAGGTTTGTCGGCATTGACGTATACCACATTGTGATTGCAGGGTCTGTTGTGGAATTTTCCCGCACCACGTGACTCTGAATCAGTTTTTCACGTCTGCAATGTACAGTGCCTATCACAGGGAAGGCTACCGCGCATGTCTAGACGCTGAAATAGAGCACTTCTTCTCAGATGCAGAGGCTGGTGAAAAGAAATAACCTACAGATCAGTTTCCATCAACCAATCGACGACGACGGCAACGAGGACGGCAAAAAAGCAATAGGATTAGATAAGCAAAACAACAACTTTGCACGTGCATTATGCTTTTTTGTGAATTTCGTTCCCGTCGTTGCACGACCACAACGTGAAAGTGCCTAATTTCACGTTTTCTGGAGGACGTGAACTCAAGACAACGATTTTTTCTGCTACATAAAGTCCTTTAGAATTCATTGCTAGAAAAATTCCCCAAATTTGACAAATTGAACAACATGGAATAAAAGCAATGAATTTTGAAACAGTGTAAATTCACTTTTTAAGAGACGTTTTCGCTGCCGTCGTCGTCGTCGTTGCCTAAGCTTCCTCCTGGCGAACGGCCGAAGATCTCCGAGCACCGACAGCAATTAAAAATAATAAACAAAGTGTGTTTTCTTCTTCTTTTCCCGGGTATGTCTGACATTCTATGTCAGTTTTTTTGACTATGGTAACTTTACCAACTGACGCATCGTATAAAAGTTTGTTCAGCTTTCATTTCTTGTTAAAACAATTAAAGCCGTAATAAACAGAGTGATATTTATCCAGACATTACTAATTTATTTATGCTAACACTTAACAACATCACTGGCCCGATTTCTAGAGTAGAGCTGTGCTTTTTATCAATCATGCGCCAAACTGAACTATCCAAAAATCGTTCATGCCACTGCGCATGATTTGTGCGCAATTCGCTACTTTAAAAACGAGAAAGAAACTGGGCCGAATTGCTTTCGCGAAGACTTCTGGGACTGTAACTATGGACAAGGGAAATATTAGCCAATAGCTGACCCGTGCGTCCTCAATAACGATCCCATAAACAATTGCGGGACGCTTTCGGCTCCAGTTCCCTTCTTGTTTGGACGAGTGGCATGTTTTCCCGCTCTTTGGACCGGTTGCAAGATTTCCCGCGCCTGCTTCCGGTTGCAATCAGAGTGGATCCTTGCTTACAGCCGTTGATAGTACCGCCTCCAAATTCCTGTTGTCCCAGCAGCCTCATTCCTAGGTCAATTTGCGCTATCCGAGTGAGTGAAGGTGGCTAGGAACCGAGTGCGAATTTTCCCGGCAAACTTGACGGGTGAAGTTACATCCGAAATCGCTGAGGACGACTGGGAACGAGACTGTTGTTCCAGTAGAGGGGCATTCTTGTTTTCAGGCCTCCAGGAGGCTCTGAGGACGAGAATGGTAGAGGGGCCGCTATGTTTGCGCGTCTGGGATTCACTGTATATCTAGTTGTCAGTCACAGTAGCGCTTTGATCCGATCGATATGAAGCACTCTTCGCACCGTTTTCTGCTGTATTACTTTGGCTGTTAAGCCCTACTGCTTCAACGTCAGCAGACCCTTGCATTTTGATTAAAAGCAGCTTCTTGAAAGCTCGTCTGTATTCTGGACTGCTCAAAGCATAAAGAACTGGATTTAAAGAACAATGCATGTATGCGAGCCAGCAAGTCACTGTGTCAGCTATTTCCACATTGCAATTGGCCACTCCTTCATCTACGAGTATCATGATGTTGATTATTTCAAATGGCAACCAGCAAATCACAAAGCATAATACGACAATTCCAAGGGTCTTTGCGAGCTTTAATTCCCGCGCAAATTTCCGTCCACTGACCTTACCCGCCGATGACGACGAGTCTACGGTTGATGACATAACCAGCAACGAGCGTCTTGCGTGCCCTTTAGCAATTCGATATATCTTATAGTACAAGCCGATCATAACACAGAATGGAAAAATAACGTTGCCAATGATGAGAAAGCCATGAAAAACTGGGTGTAAATCAAAACCATAAACTCCATCCTCTGGTTGTTCCAAGAGGAAAAAGATTAAAACAGCGATAATAAAAGAATACACCCATACACTCGCGATCATAAACTTGTTGAGGGTAGGCGTCATCCAGGCATTATAGCGAAGTGGATAAACGACTGCTAAAAATCGATCTATACTTATTGACATGAGGTTCAGCACTGACGCAGTAAGGAAGAGAAAAAAGAGCGAATTCCATAAATTGCAAGCTATACCCCCTAAAGGCCATCGAGGAAATGCTATCCAGTACACAGCGTCGAACGGTAAAACCGTCACCGCCACCAAGATGTCAGATAGAGCGAGGCTAAGTATAAAATTCTCGGAATAAGATTGTAAATAAGAGAATTTTATGCCCGCCACACACACGAGAGAATTACCAAAAAAGCAGGTTAGCATTATGAAAAAGATAAAAATTAAGCCCACGATTGTAAACCATGCTTTAAAGTCGCCCTCACAAATAAGCGATTCCAAGTCTTCGTCTTGTGGTTGTGAAGCGTTGACTTTCATCGTTGAGTCTGGTAATCTTCGCTGTCGCAGCGAGGAGAGCTTAAAAGTCGAAACCATATTGTTAGCCAGCATGTAAAATTGAGAGATATACGATCTCTAATGACCTGCGCTGTTCGTTGTTCACTAAATGTACTAAAACTCGTTACCTTTCCCAGACAATACACGAAGAATTTCCAGAGTATCTCCTCTGAGGGACCTCGCCCAGTCGTTCTGATATAGTTTTGTCATTCAGTTTCTTTAATTCTCTCCTGAAACTTTGCCAGATATGATTAACAAAATGCTCAGAATGAAAATGATACAAATGTGTATTTGCCTGAGGTATTTGCATGAAAAAAGCGATGTTCAAATTTATGAATAATGTTCCAGTCTTGTATTTCAGTTGTCACTTTTCAGTTTCGTAAATCTATGATCTGTTTACAGGGCGACTTGAAGTTTGTCTTCTTCTTACGATGAAAGTTTTTTTCAGGCACAGTCAGTTTCTACCATTGTGGAAGGAAAATAAATATCCAGAATAATTATGTTTTGCCTCATGATATCCAATATCTGTACGATGATGTAGGCCTCACACAGCTGGCTGACAGCATTTCAAATACAGAATGACCTCAAACTTCAAACTTTCTACTTGACTTTTTGGTTCTAAACACGCTGGATGGAAACTTTATCCTATCTTAACTGTCAGTCCAGCTCAAGATTTCTAAACGCCAACATGATAATCAAATATTAAATTTCTACCGTTCTAGACGAATTATTAATATTTACCTTGCGAAGAGTTAGTCTGTTCTCTGCCTCATCAAAGGGACCAATTTTCATAAAAAATATCCAGCGACTAAAAAAGTACCATAACGGCCAAATAAAAAATTAACTAATAAAGCTGATGATATTTTAACCTGGGTTTTCTAACAATCGGATAAATATTTCGAGTAGTGATTACTTATACCAGACAATTTGGAGAATACTCTTTACAGTTTTAGAAACTCGGTTCTATTAGACACTTGAATTTCTTTTAATGGTAATTGCTTTTCCAACACGTCAGTGAGTTTTCGCGACATGTTCATCCATTATCGTCAGCTGCAGTTTACACTTCTTCTGCGATTTGAACAGCTGCTTACATATTTGTCCAATTATGTGGGGCTTATGACACATAAACAACAATTTCTGAACTTGTCGTTTGTATTTGTAGTTTAGAGGCTTTAGAGAATAGTGGTGAAATTTCGATGAAAAACCCTTGTTTTTGTTGTAGGTGAGTGAAAGCGACTAAGTGACGACAGCGCGCAACCTTGCAGAATGTTTTTCCAAGTATTGCTCAGTAGGCACTGTACATGGCTCTTACGTCTCGCGCACGTAACATAACACCGTGAAGCTTTTGGCGTTAGTTGGACTTATGATATCTTGACACTCAGTAAAATCCCTAATTCCAGTGATAGCTTCTTGAGGTAATCGGCTCCTGCTTCTTGGTGTTGCGTGCGGACTAGACTACGAGTAGTCCGCATTTTTCCTCAGGGATAGCAGAGTAAGCGAAACGCGAGCGCGCGTGAAAATCACCGCACGCGAGAAAAGGCGACTCACGCGCGCTCGCGTTCGGCTCGCTCTACTATCCGTGAGGACAAATGGGGGACTACTCGTAGTCTACGCGCGGACGGGTGCAGTCACCAAATGACGTAATACAAAAGATTGAAAAGACACCGAATCACCCACACACCAACACAAAAGCGATCTAATAAAGGTTTCCGCAACAACAAAAAACACGCATTCTAGTTTATCTCCATTCAGCGTTTTTTCAGGGAATGAATCATATAGAAAACTTTCGCAGAGTAACAGCCAGGACCGTCCGTCTAGCCACCCGACAGAGGAATCTAAAAGACCTGAAAACTATAAACTGGCTGGATACAGGGCTGTAAATAGGATAAAATGTACGTTCCAGGGTAAAGGCGACTGCCCGTGAGGTACTCCTATAATGGCCTATACGGGGAGGCTCCGCCCGAAAGGGATATACCTTTCTCAGGCTTCAGGTATAAGAAAGGGTATAGGGATTTCATTAGTTGCAGTATATGAAAGGGTACGAAAATGTGTCATTTGGTCTGTAAAAGGACCAAGAAGGGCTAACATACGCATTTTATGGACGTAAAAAGGGCAAGAAAGGTGCATTTGCTGCAGTGTTTCAGACTAGGTCATCATCATCATCATCATCATCATTATCACTTAGTATGGTATGTGAAAGGGGCACCATTTGCTCTGTAAAAGTTGTACAAAAGAGGTACCTTTTCAGTCAAACAATGTAATATAAAAGGACAAGGGGTTGGACCTCGGGGAGGAGCCTCACCGTGTAAAACTTCGTTGAGTATTCTTCCCCCGGGCGCTTGTCAGTTATAACGGTTTGTCGGCATTGACGTATACCACATTGTCATTGCAGGGTCTGTTGTGGAATTTTCCCGCACCACGTGACTCTGAATCAGTTTTTCACGTCTGCAATGTACAGTGCTTATCACAGGGAAGGCTACCGCGCATGTCTAGACGCTGAGATAGAGCACTTCTTCTCAGATGTGGAGACTGGTGAAAAGAAATAACTTAGAGATCAGCTTCCATCAACCGATCGACGACGACAGCAACGAGGACCGCAAAAAATCAAAAGGATTAGATAAGCAAAACAACAACTTTGCACGTGCATCATGCGTTTTTGTAAATTTCGTTCCCGTCGTTGCACGACCACAACGTGAAAGTGCCTAATTTCACGTTTTCTAGAGGACGTGAACTCAAGACAACGATTTTTTCTGCTACATAAAATCCTTTAGAATTCATCGCTAGAAAATTTCCCCAAATTTGACAAATTGAACAACATGGAATAAGAGCGATGAATTTTGAAACAGTGTAAATTCACTTTTTAAAAGACGTTTTCGCTGCCGTCGTCGTCGTTGCCTAAGCTTCCTCCTGGCGAACGGCCGAAGATCTCCGAGCACCGACAAAAATTAAGTTTGGCGCATTCTTAACACAAAGCTAAAAAATAATAAACAAAGTGTGTTTTCTTCTTCTTTTCCCGGTTATGTCCGACATTCTATGTCAGTTTTTTTTACTATGGTAACTTTACTAACTGACGCACCGTATAAAAGTTTGTTCAGCTTTCATTTCTTGTTAAAACAATTAAAGCCGTAATAAACGGAGTGATATTTATCCAGACATTACTAATTTATTTATGCTAACACTTAACAACATCGCTGGCCCGATTTCTAGGGTATTTTCTAAAGAGCTGTGCTTTTTATCAATCAAGCGCCAAACTGAACTATCCAAAAATCGTTCATGCCACTGCGCATGATTTGTGCGCAATTCGCTACTTTAGAAACGGGGAAGGAACTAGGCCGAATTGCTTTCGCAAAGTCTTCTGGGAGTGTAACTAGGGACAAGGGAAATATTAGCCAATAGCTGACCGGCGCGTCCTCAATGACGATCCCAGAAACACTTGCGGGACGCATTCGGCTCCAGTTCTCTTCTTGTTTGGACGAGTGGCATGTTTTCCCGCTCTTTGGACCGGTTGCAAGATTTCCCGCGCTTGCTACCGGTTCCAATCAGAGTGGCTCCTTGCTTACAGCCGTAGAGAGTACCGCCTCCAAATTTCTGTTGTCCCAGCAGCCTCATTCCCAGGTCAATTCGCGATATCCGAGTGAGTGAAGGAGGCAAGGAACCGAGCGCGCATTTTCCCGGCAAGCTTGACGGGTGAAGTCACATCCGAAATCGCTGAGGACGACTGGGAACGAGGCTGTTGGGGCTGCTATGGTTGCGCGTCTGGGATTCATTGTATATCTAGTTGTCAGTCACAGTAGCGCTTTGATCCGATCGATATGAAGCACTCTTCGCAACGTTTTCTGCTGTATTACTTTGGCTGTTAAGCCCTACTGGTTCAACGTCAGCAGACCCTTGCATTCTGATTAAAAGCAGCTTCTTGAAAGCTCGTCTGTATTCTGGACTGCTCAAAGCATAAAGAACTGGATTTAAAGAACATTGCATGTATGCGAGCCAGCAAGTCACTGTGTCAGCTATTTCCACATTGCAATTGGCCACTCCTTCATCTACGAGTATCATGATGTTGATTATTTCAAATGGCAACCAGCAAATCACAAAGCATAATACGACAATTCCAAGGGTCTTTGCGAGCCTTAATTCCCGCGCAAACTTCCTTCTACTGACTCTACCCGCCGATGACGACGAGTCTACAGTTGATGACATAACAAGCAACGTGCGTCGTGAGTGCCCTTTAGCAATTCGGTATATCTTATAGTACAAGCCGATCATAACACAGAATGGAAAAATAACGTTGCCAATGATGAGAAAACCATGAAAAACTGGGTGTAAATCAAAACCATAAATCCCATCCTCTGGTTGTTCCAAGAGGAAAAAGATTAAAACAGCGATAATAAAAGAATACACCCATACACTTGCGATCATAAACTTGTTGAGGGTAGGCGTCATCCAGGCATTATAGCGAAGTGGATAAACGACTGCTAAAAATCGATCTATACTTATTGACATGAGGTTCAGCACTGACGCAGTAAGGAAGAGAAAAAAGAGCGAATTCCATAAATTGCAAGCTATACCCCCTAAAGGCCATCGAGGAAATGCTATCCAGTACACAGCGTCGAATGGTAAAACCGTCACCGCCACCATGATGTCAGATAGAGCGAGGCTAAGTATAAAATTCTCGGAATAAGATTGCAAATAAGAGAATTTTATGCCCGCCACACACACAAGAGAATTACCGAAAAGGCAGGTTAGCATTATGAAAAAGATAAAAATTAAGCCCACGATTGTAAACCATGCTCCAAAGTCGCCTTGACAAATAAGCGATTCCAAGTCTTCGTCTTGTGGTTGTGAAGCGTTGACTTTCATCGGTGAGTCTGGTAATCTTCGCTGTCGCAGCGAGGAGAGCTTAAAAGTCGAAACTGTATTGTTAGCCAGCATGTAACATTGAGAGATATGCGATCTCTAATGACCTTCTCTGTTCATTGTTCATTAAATGTACTAAAACTCATTACCTTTCGCAGACAATATACGCAGAATTTCCAGAATTTCTCCTCTGAAGGGTCTCGCCCAGTCGTTCTGATAGACCAGCTTTGTCATTCAGTTTCTTTAATTCTCTCTTGAAACTTTGCCAGATATGATTAACAAAATGCTCAGAATGAAAATGAAATAAATGTGTATTTACCAGAGGTATTTGCATGAAAAAGGCTATGTTCAAATTTATGAATAATGTTCCAGTCTTGTATTTCATTTGTCACTTTTCAGTTTCGTAAATCTAGCTATCATCTGTTTACAGGGAGACTTGAAGTTTGTCTTCTTCGTGCGATGAAAGTTTTTTTCAGGCACAATCAGTTTCTGCCATTGTGGAAGGAAAATAAATATCCAGAATAATTATGTTTTGCCTCGTGATATCCAATATCTGTACGATACATGGACCTCACACAGCTAGCTCTCAGCATTTTAAATACAGAATGACTTCAAACTTCAAACTTTCTACTTGACTTTTTGGTTCTAAACACGCCGGATGGAAACTTTATCCTATCTTAACTGTCAGTCCAGCTCAAGATTTCTAAACGCCAACATGATAATCAAATATTAAATTTCTACCGCTCTAGACGAATTATTAATATTTACCTTGGGAAGAGTTAGTCTGTTCTCTGCCTCATCAAAGGAACTAATTTACATAAAAAATATCCAGCGACTAAAAAAGGACCATAACGGCCAAATAAAAAATTAACTAATAAAGCTGGTGATATTTTAACCTGGGTTTTGTAACGATCGGATAAATATTTCGAGTAGTCATTACTTATACCAGACTATTTGGAGAATACTCTTTACAGTTTTAGAAACTCGGTTCTATTAGACACTTACATTTCTTTTAATGGTAATTGCTTTTCCAACACGTCAGTGAGTTTTCGCGACATGTTCATCCATTATCGTCAGCTGCAGTTTACACTTCTTCTGCGATTTGAGCAGCTGCTTACATATTTGTCCAATTATGTGGGGTTTATGACACATAAACAATAATTTCTGAACTTGTAGTTTGTATTTGTCGTTTAGAGAATGGTGGTGAAATTTCGATATGAAAAACTCTTTCTCATAATTTTATAATCTAAGGAATTGTTTTCAACATTTCAGTGACGAAGTATAGAGAGATTTTCGTGTATAAAGTGCGAAAAGTTTTACCCAAGGAAAAAGGTTTCTCTTAGCCATATGTTGTTATCGATGTTGTTAAAAATACAATTTTCCATATATTTTTTAGTATTGACTTTTTAATGATTTTAATTTTAACCCTACAGCGATGAAATGATAGGTTTCCAATTCAAAATAATAAACCCTTCCACGGGTTTTTTCCGAGGTTTGAGGAGGATCATTTGGCGAAAGTTTGTCAACACCGCCGAAAATAGCGCCTTAACTTTAATAAACTTGCCAAGATTGAAAGCGATTTAGTCCACCAAAGTCGACCAATTTTTTCTGACGTTTCTGACGTTTGTATGCTTGGGGGGCAAGTGATACAAGCGTCCGTAAAATTTTACGACTGTGACGGGCTGTTTGGTTGCGCTTGGGCCATAAATCGATGGAAAAAACTCTGTCCGTGATTGTAGAACGGACTTCAAACTCAGCACTTAATTAGAGGTATTTTTAAAAATCCCTTCACTGTTCACATGTCTCCCGTCATTCCTGACTGACAAAGGTGAGTCCCTCTGCAAATCTAGCTTGCTGATTATTAACCCATAACTGTTTAAAACTAAAACTTGAAAATTTGATAGGGTTTGAAACGAAATGCAAAGCTAAATGGGCAGCTAAAAATATTTTTTTCATTTTTAGCTTGAAATGGGGAGAGTTAACAATCAAGGTCTTCCCAGTCACTTATCCGGTTACTCTCACCATAAGAATTTAAAAAAATCTCCCTAATGGACGGCCGATAGATAGGCATCTGTTGAAAAGCAACACGCCTGGCATTATGACCTTTTCCTTTCTCTCCCCTTCTCTCTCTAACTTGTGCAGGTGGCGGGATTAGTCTGCGGGCGAGTGCTAAAGTAATGGTTGCGGAGAGGTCACGAGAGGACTCAGGAGCGAATCAAATTTCCTAGCCTGCGAATGGCAGAAGTTTCTCCTCGCTCATCGCCGCTGAGGGACGTTTCGCGGGGAGGAACGTCTGCGACTCAGCGACAGAAATTCCATACTGATGACGTAAATCAATGATTCCTTCTCGCGAAACGTCCCTCAGCGGCGATGAGCGGAGGAGAAACGTCTGCCGTTCGCAAGCAACAAATTTCCCTCTCGGCTTGCGAAAATCCCGCACTTTGCCAATAGCTTCGCGTGGTGAGTACGCATAGCGATCCCGCCAGCTACGCAAGCTGCTTTTTCTCCAACACGATTTTTGTTTCGCTGTTACGGGCGGGCGACCGGGCGAGTTGTGGCTAGTACCCAGTTCTTTCCCGAGAGAGCGTTATTTCCCAGCAAACCCCCCGCGCTCCGACGTGGAACGTCATCAAATCCAACATGGACACGGCAGTGCCGGTAAGTTCTTCTTGAAAATACTACACTTTTACCCGGATTTCATTTCAATGTCTGCTTTGTAGACACCACAAAACGTGTTTATTGAAATGTATATTTTTACTATTTTCACCCCTTTACACGAGATCAATGCTTAATACACCACAAACTTAAACCTTGTTAGGTGCCTGTATCGAGTCAAGATAAACTTTAACTTAACTTTATTCAGTTCCCTTCACTTTTCTTTCGTGGATGGATCCGTGAATCAAAGTGTGATTTTTACTTCTCTTTATTTAAGGAACCTTCTCTATACACGGTGAAAGCCATTGCTATTCTTGATAATGATGGGGAGAGAGTTGTAGCAAAGGTGAGCTTGCGTACATCTTTGAATCACAATTTTTTTTTGTTTTGACTTTCTCTTGGTCATATACGTGTGTAATTGTAATTCTTGGGTAACGTTCCTTTCCTCATAGTGTCAACAATTATTTCAGAAGATGAGCTCTATGCTTGTGGAATAGTGAACGTTTAAGATTTCCGCTCAGCCCCGACATTTATTATGCATGTAGCAATTTCATATTATTAATTTTCACACAAACATTTAGTATAAATAGAGTCGAGAAATGTATGCATAGTAAATGTATGGGGTTGTATGGAAACCTAACCTCCTCTTTTGTGAAAAGGAAACAAGCATTTTGTTTTCAAATCCCATGTCACCTCTTAATGTTTTGTCAAGTATTTTACCTGGCGAAAAGATAGAGGATTTTCATTTCAAGGCAGTTTTCAGTGGGATCCTCAGTACTACATATGGCTGCAGTATCATAGTTTTTAGCCTACCAATATGGTTTATGCGTTATCATTCAAAAATGCTTCACCACAGGGCTGGTGAGGGTTTTGCAGGGTTGTCAAAAGTAGCCGGCTGCCAGTGAAAATCTTTACCTACTTGGTTAGTATTGGCCGGCTACTCTGCTTGAAATTTCTTTACGGATGGCGTTTTTTAAATAAAATATCCCTAGACTGGCCACTTACTTTGACAACTTAGCCCTCTACTTCAAAACGTTCCAACAACCCTGGTTTTGGACCCTTTTTTTTGGGTTTTCTTCGCTTGCAACCACATTGCAAGGTGGCAATATAATTTTTCTCGAAGAATTTTCATGGAAATAAGGTTTGGTCCCCAGAGGAGAGAAATGCTTTTCCTCTTGACCACCAACACACGACCTTAACATGGCTGCCGTGACGTCATGTGCAAACCAGCTATAGAGGTGGCAATGAAGGTTCGAATGCCCCAATCCTATGTTTTAAGGATCCTGCTTAGAGAAAAAAACAAAAAGTAGATGGTATTTTGATTCTCTTTTCTGACAAGAAAATTATGAGCAATGTCCTGTCAAAGACTATCAAAATGGACTACCAATTAAAAGCTTCTCTTAAAAGTTGACATACACAGGATTCCCATAGCAAGAGATAAGACTCCTGTCTTTCATTTTGAGATATAAGAGTAGCAAATCATTCCCCGGAAATAACAAGTTGAGATTGGTCATTTGCTTTTGAGCTGCACCGTGCCTCCAAATTCAGGGTATAAACTTAATATATTGTATGAACTTTTTTGATTTTACAACATTGATCATAGATCATGCAGTCATTTCCTGCTTAGAATACTGTTTAACATTAGAAAACATAAGTTACATTGTTAATCTTTGTAATCTTGTCTCAGTATTATGATGACACCTATCCTACAACAAAGGAACAAAAAGAGTTTGAAAAGAATCTCTTTAACAAAACACACAGAGCTAATGGTGAGTTTTCTATTTTCCTGTAACGTCAGTTCTTGAATTGTCAGGCAAATCATTGATGCTTTTGTCAGTTATATTATGGTACTGAATAACAAAAATACAAGATTTATTAAGATAAATATGAGATTTGTTTACTTTATTAACCCTTTAAGCCCCAATAGTGATCAACATCAAATTTCTCCTAACAATATCAATACATAATCAAAAGAAAAGGTTGTGAGAATTCATGAAATGCTCACCATGGGGAAAATGCTATGATCTTTTCATAAATTCTCTCGACTAATTTGTAGGGAAATATATGGAGATCAGTCAGGAGAATTTGTTTGTTGATATTGGGGGTTAAAGTGTTAAGGCTATGTTCACTTCTGGTGCCTCAACGTACATGGTTGTCACTAAGATTTCAAGTTGACAGGTATATGGGCAGGGGAATTGAACAGCTAGGAAGGTCTTTTGGTTCTAATTACCTGTAGTTTCCTATGAAGTAGCCGGGAGTCATGCTTATAGTCACTGGGGAAAAACTCTGGTCCTCTACCCCTTTGTGACAGTCCTTTGAGTATAATAATTATTTAGTTGATGGGCAAGAGGGTAATTATAGTGATACTGTGTTCAGACACTGGATACTCAATATGTAATGTTAAGTACTTATTTCTTCTAATTTATGCCTTCATGTGCTATTTTGAAAATCAATGAGAGTGTGAAAGAGCTGGTAAGCAGAGCAGTGAATTGTAACTTAAATGCCCATATGAGTCATCAAAAATTTACCCTTTTACTGATATGAATACTTAAGAAAAGGTGTGTTCGTGTAAGTTCCCAGCCACCTAAGTTTCAATATACATGTGTGCCTACTTGTATGTGCCCCCAGAAGTCTTCATTTCTGACTGATAAAAACTAGAATCTATATTTTCATTTTAACAGCGGAAATCATTATGTTAGATGGCTTGACTTGTGTTTATAGAAGTAACGTGGATCTCTATTTTTATGTGATGGGCTCCTCCAATGAAAATGAGGTACAAGTATAAATTATAATTAAGCTTTTACTTTACACTCTAAGGACAAGCAGGGCTGTCATTAGTGGCCAGTAGCTGGCCTCTTTTTTAGTGGGCTATACCCTGCGAGCAGAGGCCCTTCCATCTGCTCGCAGGGTAAGTGGGCTACTGCTGTAAAATCAACCAGCTACTTTAAGTTTCTTAATAAGTCAAACATTACAAACTTTGGAGAATTTGTGGGATAAATGACCGGTTACTTTTCCTAAGAGACCAGCTACTTGACAGCCCTGACAAGGGAAGATCATGTAGATTCCTGAAGATTTTGACTGGCGGGTTTGTGTCATATGTAGGTTGAAGCTCACAAAAACTGCACCTTGTTTTTGTTTGGTTGTGTTTTTACTAGGCTGATTTACTACCTAAACATTCTTGCTTATAGACTAAGATTTACTAGTTAACTTTAAAAACATTTTTAACTTTGAAATTTAACTGGAATCTATAAGAATCTATAAGCCAGTAACTCAAAGGATTCAAATTACAAAAGCATGCCACATTTAAAAATGGTAGGAGGAGAAGAAGGGAGATTAAGTGCTTTTATTGATTCCGACTATTTAAAAAAAGGGGAAGGCGTTTCCTCAGATAATGCAGGTAATTGCTCTAAAGCAAGAAGTGTTGCAATCGAGTTCGTTGCTGTAAGAAGAGCAGGTTTATCCAAGGCCACAGTTCTGGAAAGGAAAGAAGTGGTAATATTAATGCATGTATTATTGTTTATAGTTGATCCTAGGAAGCGTTTTAAATGCTTTTTATGATGCTGTCAGTCTAATGCTGAGAAAGAACGTAGAGAAGAGAGCCTTGATGGACAGCATGGATGGAGTTTTGTCAATAGTAGATGAGATTGTGGATGGCGGGTAAGTTCAGCTGTAATTTTATTCTTGTTTACTTGCAGTGGCTGTAAATAACTTGATGGGTTTACCTCGGTCAAGCTCAAGTTTTCCCACTGTGGTGTAAAACTTAATGAACTGGCATCAGCCCTAGCTCTGTAATCTGTAATTTTATGGCAATATTTTTCAGGGTTATCTTGGAAGCCGATGCTTCTACTATCTTACAAAGAGTGGCCATCAAGGTAAAATTTCTTGTCTAAAACAAATGCTGAAGTGCAAACTCCAGATTCAGATGCTGAAGTTTGTAGCACTATCTTTTCATTGTTATTTGGCTGCAGATGGCAAAAGTGTTGGGACCTATTCAGTGATATTAAAAAAACCAGCAACTACCCCCTACACCCTCCTAAAATGTTGAATTTTGAGCAAAATAGGAAGAAATGAGTCCTTCTTTTGGGCACAACATTGCTGGGAGGAGTGAGAAGATGAAGGGATGAACCCAGAGCTGATGAAAAAAATTGTCATTAGGAGCCTATGAAACAGTCATTTGAAAAGGTTTTTTTTACAGTGTCTGGAGTTCTTTTGACCTCTATTTTCATCACTGGACAGCTCACCATTTTAACTCACCTGATAAAACAAGTTTAATTCGTTGTTTATGTTCCCATAAGCACACTGAGTAGCACAATGTCTTTATATGTGACCCCCCTCAGATCATTTTTTAAAAGGGGTGCAAGTAAAAAAAGCCCCAATTGACTGTACAATATCAAAGCTATTGGAGTCAAGCAATTAACTGAAACAAATAATTAAAATTAAGCACAAGAAGGTTGAGAAGTGTAGCCAAGAACTTTAACTTCAACTTGGAACTACGTAGAAGCAAATCCAGGTACACCTGTAGTGTTCAGGGCGGGGCATGCTCTCTTATAACCTGATTACGCGTCAAACATTTTATTCACTTGGCCTTTCTGTCTCCTTTAGTTTCATAGCTGTGGTATGTATTTATGACCATAAATCTGATATATTAAATTTTCTTTTTCAGAATGATGATGTTCCACTGTCAGAGCAGACAGTCGCACAGGTAAAGAGCTATATCACAATTGAAAATTAGGATATCACTGTGCAAATAAGTTGCCCCTAGTTTTTTCACTACCTGTGTGATGAAATCCTAAAGTGTGACTATTCAAATGAAAGCTATTGAGCAGTATTTTCCTGTGGTACTGTTTATTATGCTGTACAAGGTGGTTCTAACTTTTGAGTCTGTGGATGAAATCCTATGATGTGACCATTCAAATGAAAGGTACTGAGGAGGACTTTCCTGTGATACTGTTTATTATGCTGTACAAGGTGGTTCCAAGGTTTAACCATTCAAATAAGCTACTGACCACTGCTTCAGATGTTCTCTGTTAAAACAATCTTTGATTTTATACAACCTTGAACCAGAAAATATTGGAGAATTAATCATTATTTTTTCTTTTATTTATTCATTTTGTAGGTTTTACAGACAGCCAAGGACCAGCTGAAGTGGTCTCTCTTGAAATAATAGGAAAATGTGTACATGTAAAAGTAGAAAATTATAAATTTTTGTTTAAATATACCATTGGTAAAATGTACATCAGTTTTTTTTTCTGTATCCCTGGTAACAATCCCAGAAGTCTTAGTGAAGGTTAACTCGTCCCAGTTTCCCTTTTGTTTTTAAAGGGATGACAACCTCGTTCCCAGGATCTCTCTCTTAAGAGACGGGTAGGAGAGAACCCTGGGAACAAGGTTGAAGTGACGAATAGCTTGTACTATGCCTTGATTGTTATGTGTTGATGCCTATGACGACATAAAAGAAACTAACTTAAAAATAAAAAAAGTGAAAGAAAATACAAAGTGACTCAGAATACATTGATCTGTGTGTTGTTTCATCCGTCTAAGCTCCTCTTCCGCTTTCTGTTGCTCTTATTTGGTCTGCCTTGACATAATAGGCTGATTTAGCAACAGGACGGGAACGTCAGTTGACGACGGGAAAGCGAGCGGAAAGGACTGAACACGACTTCCGGTGCCCTATTTGCCACCTGCGCTCTGCCATTGGTCAAGCCAGTTGTTTAACTTGCGCGCGCCGTCGTCAACTGACGTTCCCGTTCTGTTGCTAAATCAGCCTAATAATATAGGCGTCTGTAGTTTTTTGACGCCCTTAGCTGGGGCATTTCTCCTCAAAGGATCTCCTTCATTGCAGTGTTTGGTCAGCGCTAGTAGTTCTTGATACGGTCAAACCTCATCTGACGGCCACCTCTCCACAACGGCCACCTCTCCACAACGGCTACCTCTCCACAACGGCTACCTCTCTACAACGGCTACCTCTCTACAACGGCCACCTCTCCACAACGGCTACCTCTCTACAACGGCTACCTCTCTACAACGGCCACCTCTCCACAACGGCCACCTCTCTACAACGGCTACCTCTCTACAACGGCCACCTCTCCACAACGGCTACCTCTCTACAACGGCTACCTCTCTACAACGGCCACCTCTCCACAACGGCTACCTCTCTACAACGGCTACCTCTCTACAACGGCTACCTCTCCACAACGGCTACCTCTCTACAACGGCCACCTCTCCACAACGGCTACCTCTCTACAACGGCCACCTCTCCACAACGGCCACCTCTCCACAACGGCTACCTCTCTACAACGGCCACCTCTCCACAACGGCTACCTCTCCACAACGGCTACCTCTCTACAACGGCCACCTCTCCACAACGGCTACCTCTCCACAACGGCTACCTCTCCACAACGGCTACCTCTCCACAACGGCTACCTCTCTACAACGGTCATTTTTTTTGATTGACAGTCCGTACGTTCACTCCCGTTTCAACCTCTCTGGAATGCTCAATTTCTTCTGTCTCCAAGGTGGCCGTTGTAGAGAGGTTCAACTGTATTTAACATTCAAATTGTTGAATTTGCCTGAGTATAATGTGAAGAACTATGAAGATCCGCCTCGGCAGATCGGCGATTTTGTATTCAGTTGGGGCTATATACCCTTGTATCGGTTGTATATTCCCTATCTTCAAGAGATTGTAAGCGCCCGCTGGTTATGAAGAATTATGCCGGGGATTGGAGCCAATCAGAAGCGGCTAGACATTTTACATAATTAATTATCTTGGTTAACCCGGCCAGGGCTTGTGAACACTTATTTCCTCTGGAAGAGTTTTCTTTTTCTTAAGAAACTTGTTTGAACGATTTCACAAAAAATCTTCTCCTTCATCTACCTGAAGAGCTTGGTTCAGGCGCCATGAGCTGATCAAGTTTAGTGTTATACTTGGCCCGTGTGGGCGCATCTTCCCTAAGATATCGGACATCTTTGTCGCGATCTTTGTGAAATTTAGCAAATCCTCTTCTGATCACGACAGAGCTGTGATTGGATTTAAACTGCTAATTCTGTAAAGGACAAACCCTAGAGTTCATCGTCCGTTTCACGTACATTAAGCAAGACCTTCTGCATTAAGATGCTCCCCAATCCAAACAAAAAGTACAAGTTCAAGCCCACCAGGCGATCTTCTTTCATCGTTGACCTCAAAAAGCTTTTTACACTTCTCTGCAGCTGCTGTAGTATTGACACAGCTGGATGTGCTGTAAGTGCCCCTGAAAAATTTGGGAACTCTTGTGAAAGCGAATGAGGTGGCTGGCTGATCTTGTACTACATGTCGCAGTGCATTTTTCAACGGAAGCATTCGTTTTTCTGGAATTATCGAATATCTCCTTAACTCGAAAGTTTGTCGTAAGAAATTTGAATTTGTGTTTCAAGTGGGCAGGAAAAAATGTAGAACCGAGCCTATTGGCCTGGCTATAGCTATGTCTGTGACTTGGAAACCGTCACTAGTTGGCGTGTTATTTCATTTTTTATTTTTTTGCATCCATGTCAACTATTCTGGCAGAAATTAAGGAAGGACAAAACATGCACAACTTACACTGAAACTGGTCTGCTTGAACATTCAAAGGTTAAAAATTCTATGTAAAAAATCCATATTAGGATCGTTCGTCATCAACTGCGCGGTCGGGTGCACGGTAAGCGGTCACATGAACGATTGTTACTAAGTAACAGTTCAGTATATAGGCATGTGACAGTTTGCTTTCTTGAGTCTTGTAGGAAACGTCAGCTTTTCACTTGTTTCATCAGTTAGGCAGTAGAGAAAACTTCGCACATTGCTTGTTTTTACATTTTTCAAAGTCAAATAGATTTGTTTTTGTGAAAGGGGCAAAAATTGGAAGTTCATAACATGATTGAAACTACGTTTTCAGACCTACCACAACTTATAGTCGCCCAATGTAAGGGAATCTAAGACAGTCTTACTGGATTCCACGCCGTGGATTTCGGATTCGAGCTACTGGATTCTGGATTCTTTTCAGTTGAACTTGTATTCTGGATTTCAATCGTTAGTGGGATCCTGGAGTCCCTTAGCTGTAGCTTAGGACTCCGGATTCCACAAGCAAAATTTCCCTAATTCCAGAATCCAGATTTCCCTAACCCAAGCTCCACCCACTTCTAAACACTGAGTGAAACCTGGAACCAAGAAGAAACCAAGATGGCGCCTCAAAATGGCGCACGTGTTTAGAACCTGGACGTTATTGTTGTGATTCCGCCGTTTGCATGAAACTTCAACACCATGGCTTTAATGGCAAACTGTTTGATGGCTTATTCTTTGTCGTTTGGCTCATTTGCATGTATAGAAATGGGCTACTTCATCAACGGGAAACAAGCACACACAAAGCGGCAAAGTCTGTTGGACCGCACGTATATTTTCAGGTAGGCTCTCTTGAGTGCGTTCTGAACGGCTACATGGACTATTCATTCATAAGTTTGCAAAGTCCAACGTTGGCGGTTGTTGTTGTTCTTTTTGTTGACAAGCGGAAACATAAGAGCATCTGCAACGACACGACAAGGCCGCCATGTCCGTGGGGAAAGGAGGGGTACTATTACTATTATTACTGTACCATCCAGCATTATTATTATATTAGTATTATGTTACAGGTCAAAATTAAATTCAGATTCAATATCTTTATGCTGGGTTGATTTTGAATTTCCTTAGTCTCCCTGCCCTAATTATTCATGATTTAGGGCTAGGAGGCAATGGAAATTGACAATCTATCTAGGTGAAAAAATTTCAACCTGGATTAAATTTTGACCTGTTAGATCATAATAATCTTATCATAATATAGCTATGGTCAGTTGCAAACAGACTTGAGATACCAACTACTTATTTACTGGGCTAGAAAACTGAAATTTCACGTTAATATTTATTAGTCAAGGCTTATTTTTAAAGAGGGTCCTATTTACTACATTGCTCCTAGAAAAATTTTAAACCCAGGGTAACAAGAGAAAGCCATGAGTTAAAATTTTGAATTTTGCTGAAAAGATAACCCACAACTCAAAGAAGTGGCCTCAACTCAACAACTCAAAAATCGGTCCAAAAAATGACCTTGGAGAGTTTGTAACACAGTAACTTTTCAGACTTTTTAATCTAAATCCAATAAATTACTCATAAAAAAGTTGAAATTAGTATTTCATGAAACAACAACTTTTTTCAAACTAATGGGCAAAATTTGCAAGATTTGAAAATTTAATAACCATTAAAAATTTCAAAATTTTTGTTGGCACTGTGGTTAGAACTTTGTTCAAAGTTCTCATGATTTTTACGTGGGTAGTTGACTATGTTGTTGTTGTTTTAAAATTTCCCAACTAACATGACAATGAAAAGAGGTGTAAAACTGACTTTAGGTAAGATCAGACATGCAATCTACATTGTGGCTTACACAGCCAATATCACTAACTGACTAGCTTGCTGACTGGCTGACTGACTGACTGACTGAATTGACTTACTGACCGACTGATAGACTGACTGCCTGACAGCTGGCTGACTGACTGGCTGGCTTGCTGACTGGTGGACTGACTGACTGAATGACTAGACTAACTAACAAACTGGCTAACTGACTAACCTACTCTCTGACTGACTGACTGACTGACTGGCTAACTGACTGACTGACTGACTGACTGACTGACAGCTGGCTGGCTATCTGACTGCCTGACTAACTGACTGACTTACTGATTGACTGACTCACTGACAGGCTGACTGGCTGGCGAACTGATTGGCAGGCTTACTGAGTGACTGAGTGACTGAGCAACTTGTGAAAAGAATGACAGATGTTTTTGTGACTGACTGACTCGCTGGATGACTGACAGACTGGCTGACTGACTGACTGACAGACTTGCTGGCTACCTGACTAACTGACTTACTGACTGGCTGGGTACCTGACAGACTGACTGACTGACTGGCTTACTGGCTGACTGACTGATTGACTAACTGACTGACTGGCTGACTAACTGGCCGACTGACTGACTGACTGACTGACTGGTTATCTGACTGACAGACTAACCATTACAACTTCACGCCGATTGAAGTGTGTATTTCAGAAATGGGCATAACCGCTGGATTTTGTACCCTGAAGGCTCAATTTATTCCTCCGAACTTTCCCTTCGAGAGTGTTCGTTTTGACTCAGTTCAAAGAAGGTGAGATTTTATGGCGGAAAACTCAGA